ATTGTAATGCATACAAAAACCTATGCTTTCAAGTAGGGAGTGACAATAGCTTCGAGATATCCAATACTTTGAACTCTCCAATATTAAACGGATGAGATTTTACTGTATTTTGGCAAAAGCAAACCAGCTTCCCTGCTTAAGATATGTACCCCAATTTTGGAGGGCTGTTTTTGACGAAAAGATGTGTGTAATGTGCCAGAAAATATAGTAGCTAAATAAGTAAGCTGGTCACGGAATGGATATGGAAAAGATAGGAGCCTGGCTACTCTCAATATGGACATACTTGAGACGCTTGCAACCTGGGGTGAATTTCTGGTTTTCAGTGATTTTTTTGATAATGCATATTAATGGACTATGGACATAAATTATACATAAACCAGTATACGTAATCAGAAACCAGATCAAAATCTGTAACACAACAAAAGTTCAGTACACATAAACCACTTTCAAAAAGACCAAAACTAGTTTAAGATAAACCTGGATGGATGAAATATCAGACCTGACTGATTTAGGTTAAATCAGTTTATTGAACTTCTTTCCCAGACCCCTTTCACGTTCAAGCTAACTCTCAGTCCCACACATCCCAGGATGCTTTGCACCTCCCCTTCAAACCTCCCCTCACAGAGTGGGCAGGCTAGCCTTGGCTCAAGCTGTCTGAGGTAGCCAGCAAGGGGGCATGCTATAGTATCCCCCCGCTTTTGGCCTGGGCCACTGCACACATGTGACTGCATTTCCAAAATCAAATGTTCACTTGCTTATTCACTTAATCTACTCAGTTTAGACTTCCCTGCAAAGATTGAATCAGCTCAGCCTTGGACTTTTGGACTGTCTACACTTAGCCTTGCTGGCATTCATATTAAGACATAAGGCATGTCATAGACAAATTTCAAATAGTCAAATTTCAGACTGTTTCGCTGATGTCGGTACCATCTTGGGATCAGCAGCTACTTTCCTCTCTTCTTTTTACCATATCTGAAAGAAGCAGTATTCCGAAAGCAATAGAAGTAGCTAATAGTGGAGTGCCCCACTCTTCCTGCCACATTAATGTCACAACCAAATTAATCAGTGCCCATGTCACTAGCAAGAGATGCACACAGCAGTCAATTAAGGGTTAAAGAAATCTCTGTCCAGAAGTTCCTGAGAAAAAAATCCAAGCAAGAGCTGTATATAATTTATGCCCACGTCACAAACGAGAAACGAAACTTAAGACTGGTCAGGGGAAAAGGGGATAGCACTGCCATAAATCCCTGCAATAAAACCCGGAGGGAGAACTGTAGATAATTGGTCAGCTGAAATAAAATGCTAGGGAAAACTATATATAATTGGTCAAAAAATAAGCATAAGCTCCTCACACGTAGCACACACGTAACAGGTAGAGAAACCTAACCCACTACCTTGTAACTTGAGGAGACAAAAAGCTGCTACCTGCCAAAAAATTAAAAATTCCATATAACAGTTCACAATTGGGTATCTCTGTCAAACACCTCTGCCTATAAATAGTTTAACGGTTTCCGCCCAAGGCGGAGAGCTCTGGGGATTTCTGAGCAGAAACACCTGTGTTCATGTTGCCAGAGAGAGAGATTTGGGAACCTGATCAATTCCCAATAAACTCCCCGTCATCAGAAAATATTGACGTAAAAAAGTCCTGCTTGCCCGAGCGTTCCTGTGCCACGTCTGTCATTACTTTGCTGTAACCTGAATGCGTAGACTCAACTCTGTAACCGAAGCTGTAATGGAACAAAGGCTCGCCTGCGTTGTCATCACTATCTAGGCGACGTAAGTAAACAAACTCCTGTAACCTACACGTGTCTGTGCCTGGTTAATTCCACTCCATCCATCACTACCCGCCTGTTGAGGCGAAAGGTTTACTGCCCGGCTCCGGGAGTCAGCAAGCAGCTGACCGGCCGCTGCTCTGATTCCTGACAATTAACATACAGAAATAGCATAGAGGAGTGGACAAATTTTGGAAAGATAGTTATACTAGATTTGGAAACCATTTAGATTTAGGTCCCGTGTATAATGCTACTGATAAGCACAGAAATAACATGCTTGGAATGTATAAATAACACCAACTATAAAGTCTGCCGATGTAAAACTGAGTACAATTGCTACATACACAGCCAGGAGAAAACTTCTCTTTGGCTAATGTAGTCAAACAGTTGCCTAGAGGCACTTGAAGTCTCAGAATTTAAAACTGCTACCTGTTTGATGTCTTAACTAACTACTCTAAGTCTCCTGTAATATAGCCACTAGTTGGTAATTAGAATCCAAGAAAAGGACAATGCAATTTAATAAATTTACTCAATCTCTAGAACTCATGGCTTGGCATGTTGTTTAGAATATCATGTTAGCATCCCGGGGAGAGGCTTGAACATAACAAATCAAGGAGACTAGAATTGATACAAGGGCCACAAGGAACACTATTTCCTTGTGGAACCGGGGCAAACTCCCAGGCCCAGTCACAGTGCCAGCCTACCACCTGTCTTTGGGCAAGCATCCTGCCTTCCTCACCTGACATGCCTTGTTGTTAAATAATTATGTTGATTAGGGGGGAGGCCGCTCTTCAAGTGCCCTGTGCTGTTCACAGGTGGTAAACACGATTCCCATCTTCCCCTATTATGTCCCATGCCTCAGATGTTCCCCGTGAGTTGTGCTATGCTTCAATGTCGGGCAATCACCGTGTAAGGACATATGCCCCGATATCCTGCTGACATTCACTGGCCCCTCAGGGTGGTTGCAACCCTACGGTTGAGCTGGGTGAGATCTGCCACCCTTTCTTTTCCTGCATGCCGTGACTTTGATGATATAGGAGATTCATAAAAGGGAGGTGGTGACTGCCTGTCTTGCACCCAGATCAATCGCAGGGGCTGATCAGTGTCCAAAGCCCGGACCCAGAAATGATGGAAGGACCAGCCCAGAGACAACTTTACAATTCCATCTTCTTTTTTTAATTTTATATTCTTTTCTTTCTTTTTTTTTCCCCCCCACAAAAAAGTCCTTGACCTTTGCCCTCCTCCTTCTTCTGGGCATCTGCAAGGTCTGGTGCCCTGCTGCCTGGGGCTGTTACCCCAGGATCTTCAGCGGTCCACCCTCCCGCCCTGGTCTCTTCTCCAGGATCTTAAAGCCAAACCGCAGCGGGCTTAATTACCAGCAAGCACTGCTTCCACAGCTGGGGATTCCCTCCACAGCAATCAGCTGGGGACGGAGCGCAGTCCTCGCTGCTCGGTGTTTCTGCCTACCCCCGTTTCAGCCGCGGAGCCTCTCCAGGGACCCGCTCCTCTTCTTTTCCTGAGCAGACACCTGTCCTTGGTTGGAACTCTTCAACCGGCCAAATGACGTCCTTGGGAGAGATCAAAGCAAAAGGAAAAAAAAAAAAAAAAAAAGATAGAGGGGAAAAAAAAAAAATGCCGCAGCGAGCAGTTCAGGTGGATCCCTCGCCTCCGCGGTTCCCTGGGGCCTTTCCCGGATCCCCTTCTGCCAGCTGGCCTCTGCTACCCTCCTCTTTACTCCTGCGGTGAGGGTGCCCCCGCCGCATCCGAGTCACACCAAGGGCTCATCCACACTTCTGGCTCCTCAGTTTTCTGGCTCTGCTCCTTCGGCGTCCCCTCCTCCTCCAGCCTGACCCCGGCCTCCAGACATAGCCCGCACTGCGGATTGGCTCCAATCCGCTTCACCTGGCACAGAAGTAAAGCCAGGTGGGTACAGATCAGGAGTTCCCATTGTAGCCTGGATGTTGCAGCGTGAAGCGATTCCTGTCCCTAGCCGGGGACACACCCTCGGTGAGTACCCTCTGGGCTCTCACATCCAGTTTGAGGCCGGGCCCAACTCAGCGCAGTGTTAGGCCTCTCTCATACTGCCCTGTTCAAAGGCCTCACTCATACCATCCCCCTCTCACTGGTGCCTCTCTCTCTCTCATGCCCCTTAGTGGACCACATTCACCCCACTCTACTCCCTTGAGTGACCCTGGAGGGTCAGACTTGGCTTTGCACTCCTCGGCCAGCCCCGGTGCAGCCTTTTGGGCCTATCCTGCGACCCTCATCTGAACGGTGGCTGGGCAATTAGCAGAACACTGGCCTGACTTTGTCCCTGGCCCCTCAATGAGTAACACAACCCACTAGTTCACAATTTTGGGGCTGACGACTTGCCCCTTTCACTTATGGTTCTGTCTCTATCCCACCTCTCACAGCCTCAGGCACCCGAAGGCTTACCTTGACACAACTCTTGCCCATCGGCCACGGCCTCGACAGCTCTCGCCCCTTTCTGGGGCTCCAGGGTTTTGCACCCCAACAGATTCAGGTGTCCCTTGCACGGGTATGCCTGGCCCCACTACCTACTCTGGGCTCAGGAGCCTCCCGTCCCAAGTGGGTAATGCACAGGAATGCCTGGCCCCACTTCTCTCTGATGTTATAATCTGCCTTAACCCTAGTCCCCGCTACCTGCCTTTAACTGGGGAGGTAACTGGCCTGGCCTCTCTTCAGGACTCCCTCACCACCAGGAGTCCCACCAGGCCACCCTTCCCCAGCAGGGTGCAATTTCAGATCATGCCCAGGAGCAGGAGCCTCCTGACATCCCCCATAGCTCCTGCCCTTACCTCAAAGATTTTCCTTGAGCAGCAGGGCAACTGGGTGGTGTTGTTCCCTCAGCTGCTGGAAGTAAACTGCTGCCCCAGCCCTGAGGCAAGATCTTAAAATGGCTGCCTCATCAGCAACGTCCTGCCCGTCTGCTGCCTGCTCTCTTCAAAGTGGCAGACACCAAAGGTGCTCTGCCACCCACTTTCCCCCTTCTAATGGTTCCTGGGGGGAAGCTTCCCCTGCTGCTCATACCACAGGCTCACTCGGAGCCTGCAACAGCCCTTAAGTGGTGAGCAACCCGCTGGTGCTCCGCCACACCTTGGTTAGATTACTGACTGACTGACTCAAGAGCATTTAAATATTGTAAAATTATATTACAGATTTGCATTGAAGTGCATTTGGCAGCCTAGCAAAAAACAACACGAGCCCAGTATAATTGCTATTTTTTTTTTTTTTACTCATTAAAGAATGTGTGATTTGAATGTATGTATAACCTAACACAGAGTTTGGCTACATAAAGGTACAGTACACTTAAAACAATATGGCTCTTACACTTAAAACAATACACTTAAAACAATAACACTATTGTTACTGGGGTAACAATAAGTGTACTGGTCAGTCAGGCTCCATTTTTGGGAACCACGTGCTGCCTCCGGACGTGCCAACCTGCTTTTTTTCTGCGTGGGTTTTTCTGACCCCTGGATTTCCTGCCTTGGGGCACTGGGTTGGGACTTACCATTGATGTTTAGAAATGGGTCCTGGTACAAAAAAAGTTTGAGAACCACTGTTCTAAGGAACTCATGGTTATTACAACTTTAGTCCCCACATTGTAATACAGTAGCTATCAGAGAACTGTATTTTGTAAAGTATTCAGATCCATAGTCAACCCATCCTGAAGCATCCCTAAAGTATGCTTTTCTATAGCAGAACTTATTCAGGGTATCAAAATTTTAACCTCATTCAAGTGATTTGAGACAACTTTGTGAGTTCCCCTTTGAGATTGTAGAAGAGTGCTTATCTTAGGTTTTTTGAGTGTTTATAGTTCTTTTTCCATTAATCCAGTACTTTATTGAAAGAGTGGTCACTATCACACTGTAGTTAACATGATCGGAATTTGAGGAGATTCTACTTTCCATCTGAATCATGTATGAGAACCAAAATCTGCAGGTCTTCTGATGTTACAACAGGATTTTTTACTCTTTTATTTAAATAAAAGTTAAAACGCCCAGGACATTGAATGAACCCTTCTTAGATTATCTAGAGCAGGGGAGGGCAATTATTTCAGGCGGAGGGGGCTGCTTACTGAGTTTTGGCAAGGCATCGAGGGGCGCATGACAGGCAGCAAGGGGCAGATAAATATTAACTTTCTAAATTTTTTTAGGGGCCCTGTGAGCTGGATAGAATGGCCTGGTGGGCTGCCTTCGGCCCGTGGGCCACATTTTGCCCACCCCGATCTAGAGTTTATCCAATGACTATGTAATGAAAAATACATAAAAACAATGGGAGTAAGGTCCCCCCTAACACACACACTGTGGAGTACCTCTCACAGGACACAGGAATCAGGAACTCTCTTCCATGCTCTCCTTTTGGTCCCATTCCTTTCTCTGCTGCCAAGAATGAAGCCCTGAACCTCCTTTCCTGAACCACCCTTGCCACTGATGTCAAAAGCAATTCTGCCATTTACTTTAAAAAGGCCAGAACTGACTCAATCTGTCGGCCACTTAAGAATGAACCACCAGTTTCTGAGGAGCTGAGGTAAAGCTGGAAATTTACAGTAACTGAATCCTTAAAAGTATACTATTTGGGGCAGTAGACGACATCATTCTCTACCCTCTTGGTGCAGGAATGTCTTTCTTCTGCTAAGAAGACCTTCTCTTAAGATTTAAGGGGCCTCTACTGAAACTTTCTTGATGGTTCCTCAAGCCACATTAATAGGATTACAAGCTTTAAGGGGAGTGGGCCAGTGGGCTCAGGAAGAAAGTATCTTCCTTCTTTTCATGCTGTCAGCTTCCAGTCTAATCCCAGAGAAAGACGCCTGCTCAGCTTCCTTGGACAGACTTTGACAAACCACCAATTGTGAACTTCACCTGTCAGTTCTGCCAACATATGGATTGGTTGAGCAGTGGAAAACATTTCTTGCCCTTCCTCTTGGTGTCTCTGTCTGCCTGAGGGATAAATAGAAGTGCTACCTTTCAAACTCTCTTCAAAAAATTAATTTTATAGAGAAATATCTTGAAAGCAGTGAAAAAGTGCAGTGAAATTTTTCATCAGACCTTCTTTTAAACTACAGAGAATAAATCTGTTATAAGAAGTGGCCCCTTTGAAACTCCTACTTGTCATATGCTGAAGCCAAAGGATACTGGAGACCTTTTCCAAATAGGCAGCCCTAAGCAAAATTCAGAGCAAAGATCTAAGCTACACAAAGGAAAACAGCCAAGACACCTGTGAAACACTCTGATTTATATTGGACAAAAATACATTTAAGAATAAAACTGTATAATACCTAACTACATATAATAAAGACTTTAAAAATATTTGAGTATTAATTAATAGGCGTAATAAATGTTGACTGCATTTTAGGTAAGGTTAGCTTCAAAAAAATATAAAACTACAATACTTACATAACTATGACTCTTAAGGAAATTTGAAGGACTGCTTGTACAGACTTTGTCTCCTTCCAAGCCAATTACTCTTTTACAGATATTTGATTTTGGGTCACTTGGGCTTTTTGCAATTACAATATCACCTCTAAGGAAACACATTAAAAGAAATATCAGTATAAATGAGTATTTGAACGAATATGTACATATGTAAAAGTTATAATCTTTCAATTAAAAATATTTACTCTGTTTCTGGATGATGAACCACTGAGTACAATTCTATAGGGACATAGGCATAAGGCCTATCTAAGAAACAGTATATGTGTCATTCCTGGTGAGAATCAGTCCCTAACCTCCTGTCTGGACACAGCATCAAAAGCTCAGTGTAAAATAGGACAAGACAATCTAAAAATAGAAATGCTTATTCAGCTTGGTGGTAATGTGTTTAGAAGCACACAAGGGATTTTCACCTTTTTGGCCAAACTCACAAAAGTGCTATGCACTATGTCCCAGGGAAACACTAACTTCAGTTGTTTTGTAATGCTGATTATGTTCACTAAAAGCAAAGCAACTAATCTGTCTTCCTTCTTTGAGACAAAGTTCCTTGTAAGTCAAGGACTGTACAAAAACAAACTAGAAGTAGAGGAGTACAGGGAAAAGACAACACCAATCTATGATAAGTAAATCAACGTACTTTTGAATGCTATAAAAATGGCGGCTAAGGTTGTCCAAAACAACAATATCATAATTTTGAATTGTTGGCTGCATTGAAGGTCCAGAACACTGCAAATTAAAAAAAGAAGAAAAAAAAAAAACTTGTTGAAAAATAGTTAAACTCAAATACTGAAAAGATTAAATTATTTTTAAACAAGTTACCAAAACATTATAACATGAAGAAATAGGCCAAATCCTCATTTGTGGCCAAGAAGTATATTATACTGTTGAAAAGGATGGGTATAAAAATGTCTTCTGAGCTTTTACAACTGTCCTGTCACTATAGGTTAATCCACTCTGGTCTCCACAAAATGCACCAGCTGCCAAAGGGCCAATACAGGAAATTGTGGGAAGGAAAAGTGGGGGCCTCTTTCCTCATTCTCTGTGAGGGTGACCTAGAAGTTGTGGAAGTAATTCTCTGTCCCCCAAAGATGATTACTTGGGGGGGGGGGCGGGAAGCTGGATCTGCTAGTTTTTTAAATGTTTTATCCTCAATCTAGAGAGCCAAAAAACAGCTACAGTCCAGCAGCCCAAAGGTTAGCAACAACTGCCTTTCTAAGGAGTTATTAGTGGTCCATATCTTATGAGTGACTGAGTACCTCTTGCAGGCTGCTCAATATCTTTTATTTGCTTCAGTGGACCATGAGAAGAATTCTGCAAGAATTTCTACAAGAACTCTGGCCTGAAGTTGAGATATTTTTTGAGACAGACTCTTGCAGCCAGAAAGTGAAAGTTCAGTTAACATATATAATTGTTTTTAGAAAAAGCTGCTCAATAAGACTTAAAAATTTATCTGCAAAAACGAAGCACAATTTTAAAGTATCTATAATGTTAAAACTTTTCATTAGTACAGTTCTTCCTTAATAAGCTATTTATTATTACTAGCATAAAAACAGAAGTTACCACAACAATTCCTCCAACGTATTCAAAGGCACAGTGTGCTATGCAGCCATACTGAATGGTATATCCAAGAAGTCTGAAGGTTTTTCCCAGGACATCTTGAAACATAGCACAGGGTTTGCTTGCAGTGGACCCTAATACATATAAATAGAAGTTACATAATTAGTTTTAAGCTAAAAATAAACATCCAACAAACTCTATTTAGAAATTGTATTTTATATTTTAGAAGTCAGATAACATGCAATATTTTTAAATTAATGAGAATGAAAGATACAGGTCATTAGAAATACCTAAAAAGATTAATTCATTCAGAGAGGAAGAAAACCCCCCCGCCTGTGCTTTAGAACTATATGGTATTTAACCTGTGGCATTTTACGTAGTAGTTCAGAACTAGGGTTTCAGTCCATAAAGCATGTCATGTAACAGCTAATTTTTATTATACAGTGCTTATTCCTCAGATAAAACAAAATTTGGGCTACCACAGAATTTTGTGAATGTGCAACTTTTAACCATTATACCTTACGAGCTGCTGAGTGCCTCCTGACATCAATGTGAAGTTACAAAAATGTTGGGGTCTTTAGATAAATGAAGTCTTAAAAAAGTCTCTGCTTTAAACTGGGTGTACATCTTTGATACGATAACATACTTTCATAAGTTTAGAATATACATTCTAAACTTATGAAAGTATGTTATCCTATCCATATTTATCCTATCCTATATATATTCTAAACTTCCAAAGTATATTCTAAACTATATATCCAAAGTATCCTATCCTATATATATTCTAAACTTATGAAAGTATGTTATCTTATCAAAAATGTACACCCAGTTTGAAGCAAAGATTATATAAACAAACTCAAATGACAAGATTGTACCTTAGCAGTAACTTCAAGATTTGGTACCTACATTAACATGAAAAACTTCAGAACAAAAAGTCATTCACCAGGAGCAGTAATTTAAAGATTTTGGTCCAAAATCTTTACCACTAAAGTTATACAGGCAGAAAACTGAGGTAATCCAGTGGACAATTAGCTCTTTAGCAGCACTATTCACATTGAAAACAGTTTACCAAATCAGACCCAGTACATTAGGACATCACAAATCTCACTGGAAAAGAGAGACAAGATTTATCCAAATAAAACACAACATAAGGAACAGAACAAAATTCAGGGTATGAAATAAATTGGGAATTTTACAGTTTTAGAATGTGTTAATTCTCTTTGTTACATTTTGCAATAATCCCCAAATGCTAACTTTCAAAGAACTAAGTTTTAAGTAGTAAAGACTTCAACCCATAAAAGCCTACAAAATCAGGACCTCAGGTTCTATAATTTTAGTTTACACAAATAATAAGTGAGGTTACATACACAGATTGTCTCTTGCTTTGTTGATCATTCTGGACTTACATAAAACTACAGTGAAATTAAAGCAACAGCCAAATCATGAATTTTGGAACCTAACTGGAACTGTTTGAAAGCAAGCACATAAGTAGATGGTGTTATTTTCCCAAAGCTTCTGGGGAAAAAAAAGTACGGAAATTAAAAAAAAACATTTTAAATCGCCAACTGAGCATTCCAAAATTAAATTTTAAAATGAGAGAAGAATGCCAACAAAGTTCCAAGAGCAATATTAACTCAACCATGTTGCGTTTCCAGGTGAAATCCTGCATTCTCCAAACGTAACAGAAGTTTTGCCCTCAAATACAATGGAGACAGGATTTATCTCATGCCATTTTATTGTTTAAAAAACATACATGATACCTTTGTTATATTAAAGGTATAGAAAATACTTTGTATGTAATATAGTCAAGTTAATACAGAGAGATAAATTCTATCATCTTCATATTATTTTAGCTGTTTGACATGTGAAAAACAAGAATGCACTATTATAGCGTTAAATCCTCCGTTTCTCATTTGTATAAAACTATATAAGTATATGGAAGTGTTGTCCGAATGAAAGACTTAAAAACCCCTAAGCTTTAGTTCTTTGCTTTTACCGTTTAGTTGTAGAAAGTAAGAGTAGAAAGAATAAATTTTGACAAATGTTTCACTTTTATCTAGTTCCTTATTCTGAAAGGATTTACTCAAAACGTTTGATGTGAAAAATAACTAGAAAATTATGCATGTTCGCTAATAATTTAGTATATTTAATATATTTCACAATGGAGTACAACGTAACAAAAATATCTGAATCCCATGATAAAACTGCCAACAATTTTTTCAACTGCTAATGGTCCAGATATTGCATAAAAGGGTAGAAAACTCATTAATTTATAAAGAAAACAAACCATGCAGAAACTTGTAGACCATCAACAAAAATCTCAAAATCAATTATTTGCCTAACTGGCATGGGCAATGTTTGTAACATAATATGTGCAGAAAGTCTTGTGTAAACTGACACTTGAACAGCTGCATTCTGAACTAATCGCACTTTTAAGAGTTATTCTGGACACCCAGAAAATGTGACTTGCTGTAATCAACACAGGAATCAAAGGTTTGATGTCAGAAATGGAAACACTCTTCACCTAGAAATGTTTTGTAGGTGATAAAAGAAGATTGAGTGGTAGCAGATCAATCAGTCTTATAACAAGTATGAATTAATGAGCACAACATTTGCAGCAAAAGTTGTACTGGTATCTGTATGTAAAACCTCCAGAAAGGTTGCCTCAGAAAGCAATTCGAGGCTAACAGAAGTACACCTTAACATAATACTTTAGAGGAATCTTATTCTGAAACTTCATGTTAATATATGATTATATTAGAACAACAGAGAGATTTCAGGCATCCATGGATTGTCCAGTTGACAGGTAAATCAGTTACATAACATTAAAGATGTTTTGGTTGTATTATATTAAATATAAAAATTTAAAACTTGAACACCATAGGTGACAGAAGCACATAATAGTGACAATAGTGAGAAAAAGAGAGTAAAGAAAAAGGCTTAGTGCTGTGTCCCTGTCCTCACTGTTAAGTAGATGGAGTTTGTTTTCAAACCAGGGTTGGCAGACAAGATCTTCTCATTATGGGTAAACCTAATTATCTTGCATGGCAAAAAACAAAGTTCTGCTGTGGGTCTACTGACTGAAATAACTTCTGATAATTGAAAACCATGAGTATTTGTGTTTATTCCACCAAGATACTGCATGATTCACAGTACAATGTTACCAAGCACCACTAGTTCATTTTTTGGTCTAAGTTGTAAGGTATACACCCAACAGCAGTTATGCAGAACACAAACTTAATTTACTTCCACCTCACCCCCTATATGCCCCTGAATACCACTTCCAAGTTTATCTACAGAAACTCAGAACCTGTTAAAACAACAAATACTCTGTCGTCTGTTGCAGCAACCCTGCTATGAAACTGTCCCGCAATCAAGGGAGAGTAGATAGAATTAAGAGGTCTAAAGTTTAGTACCTAGCTCTCTTGCCTGGACCTAATAATTCTTTAACTCTTCAACACCTTTAAGTGAAGTCTTGCTCCACTATCCAAGCAAATAGAGAAATACCATTACTTCTGTTTCATATAAGCAGTACTTGAAGCCAAATGAATTTTAGTTAAATGCTCAAGGCACTTATTGCTAACTTCTACACGAAGCGGAACTGCTACAAGTACTTAAAAATTAATGTCACATTGATAATATTTAGACATAGTATTTATTTTGCACATATTTTTTAACAAGCATGGGGATTAATTCAGATCTCTTTCCCAACTAGTTTGTTCATTAGCATGCTGAAAAGAATACTTAAAATAATTAAAATCTCAATACAAAGTTTCCTGGTAGCTTTAACTACTAAGACTTCAGTGAAATCCTACTTCATTCCTATAATAAACAGGTAAGACCTAGTTCAATGAAAAAACCCTAGACATGCATTTTAAATTAGCTTAAAATAAATTTAAAAAATACTTGTAATTTCTGTACTCAAACATTAGCTATATCAACTCATGTATATTTCCATGAAAAAAAAAAAAATCATCAGTACACTATTTTGAAAAGCAAATTATTTAGTATTCAAAAATAAATGGCATAGCATCTTCAGGTGTCAGATCATCCACAGTCCGCATTAATACAAAGTCCCATCAACTGACAAGACTATGGAAAATATGAACATAGTGCAATATGTACGATAAAATAAACACATTATTATTTAAGTATTCAAAAAACAGACCATAATCAGATTTAAATAGTTGTTATATAAGCATCCTTCTCATACAACTATAAGCATAAATCACTGCTAATAATTTACATCTATTTCCAGGTACTGCTTGAATCAATTGCAGAATTTCCCCTTAGTTTTTAACCTTAAAACAGTTTGTGTAAGTTTTTGATGGCGTTATATGGAATACAATTTAACAATTAATATTTTACAAGAAAAGCATAGTTTATTTTCTGCTGAAAATAAAAGACAAGATGTAATTTAGTAATATCTTCTGTCCTTTTTTTAAAAAAAAAGTCACCACATTCTATGCCTTCATCACTTGATTTTTTTTATTATTTATAAAATTAATCACAGCTAGCAGGGTAGAAATCACTTTGAGCTTCATGAATGACATCCAAGAGATGGGAAAGGATTAGTTCTCAGTTGCTGCCAGTTATAGCGCCAGGTGGCTTTTTCTGCAGTGAAGGTGTTACCGATAATCCCATTACATTGGTACTAAATCTTGCAGACATCAAAATTATCACCAAGGTTCCTTTTCATCCCATCCTTTCCAAATGACTGGAAGTCGCTTCACCTGAAAGAAGTCAAATCCACATGCAGCTGCTGTTTTAGCAGCCAGCAGACTCCCTGAGAATGCCAATCGTGATCCAATTTCGCTGTGCTGGTGGCCCCCTATTCCCTGTCCAATAATACATCTGTTAAAAAATCCTACAGCTACAAATCAAGTTTAATCCTACCAGGGACCTCATGTTGGTCTTGTCTTCCAAAAAGGCAGCAGGTTTTGCTGTATATCTCTGCTAGTGTCTGGGGAATACCCTTTAAATCCCAGTCCTACTTAGAAGAATAAGCTAAGGATCACAAAACATGACCTCAAAAACCCTGATATGACTATATTCTGACCCAGAGGCATTCATTCTAGGTGAAGATTAGAACTTTGCATAATAAGATTACACAGCAAGTGAATGATATCAAGGG